GGAAAGCCAGGTGGTGGTGGTTGTGGGATTCGAATACACACACCCCGTGGGGTGATAATTTGGTGACTTTTACCCGACAGAACCACTATCACCCAGAAAGTTAACATTTCGTGAACTGCTCTGTGAACTAGTGACCGTCATACCTTTGACCAGTGTTGTCATCGAAGCAATTTTGTACAATCCTTATCATTTTCTTCGTTAAATTTCATTACACATTTGTAATTGCTGTATCAGAACAAATGTTTAGCTTTATCTTATTTTATCCGGATTTTTTGGCAAATTACGGTGACCTCAAAACCCAAAATTACTTACAAGCTCAAGTCTCTCTTTTCCCCATAGGATATTTACACAGCTGAGTTGTTTCTCGGCGATAGAAATCACATAGAGTTCCCGATTGAATTAACTGCTCTTACTCCGGCTGATCTCCCCTCAAACTTCAGCGTCACACACAATCCTCAGCTCTTCCAACCAAACATTTGTTCAGCCCGCACTAGCCGGGAGTTTCCTTCTCGTTACAGCTCTTCAGTCGTGTGTACACAATCCATTCCGCCTGGGCTTTAAACTCCGAGCCCATCATACGGATGGCACGAAAGCACCCAGTTGTGAGAAAAAGAAACAGATTGCTAGCGTGTATCTAGCAATTCATATCACTAATTCCCTAATAAACGTTTTCCCTCCCAGCATTGGCAAAGTTAAATTTTTATTGAGGAAGTTATTTACAAGCTTCTTTTGCCTCCAAGGGATATTTAGGCAAATGAACCATTTCTCAGCAAGACAGACAGACAGACAGACAGACAGATCAATGTCACATAAAGTTCCGGGTAGGAGATAATACATAATGTAATCTTTCTTCAACCAGTGTTGTGTTTACAGTTGTTTAGGAATGTAAAGTTCGCCAGGGTTTCATCAAGTCTCCACACAAACGACGTGAGATGGAGGGGCTTTCCAAGTGGTGCACACTCTCACTGCACAAGATTGACGCTGGCATTCCGGACGATACTTTGGAATCACTAATCTGAGAAGATGTGCCCCAAGACGGATTTAAGTTGCTAACAATATGGATGGTTTAGGTTCTGGAATATTTGATACACCAAAAACAATTCGCCGCGAATCCGACGGTACCCAGCAGAATATAGCCCCACTGGTTGTAATCTATCTCCGTAGCTGAGGCAATTCTTTGTGAAACCTCCAACATCTTACACTCATATTGTAGCTATGAAATCCGGGCTTGGATGGCGTACTCTGCTTACGGTCGAATGCACATTGATAGCAAACGTGGGAACAGTACTGATTTAAACCAATCAAAGATGCGCCTAACTACGCTGACATTCCTCACAGCTACGGAAGAAACCCTGGCGCAATTAGTCGAGCAGCTCAATGATACACACGTTCTGCCCACTCTCGTTCTCTCCCGCGCTGTGATGGAACTGGCTCTATGAAACTTCTGAGCATGTTGCGTTATTTGTGTAGTCGCTGTCGAATCCTAACCAGTGTGATAGAACATCTTAATTCGCAATGTCAACAAAGCTCTTCAGTGATGTGCACCACGGGTCGACAGTACATAATGGAACGTTAGTCCAATCCTTCTGATAGTCTACTGAAGGAATAAATCGTCCAGATGATCCGATTTGATTTACAGGTCAGATTTACCCTTATTTGAAGCTATTAAATTTTATGCTTTAAGTTATTCATTGTAACAATATGGTTGAATACTGTGGCGCATGAGGAAGAACAATCCGAAGAGCATGAATCACCAATAAAAGTTATGCATAACAATACTCAAATTTTGTTTGGAACCATCATACGAGAGGAACAAGGGGGCTAAATAGAAAGAGAAAAATACCATTTTATTTTAAACCAACGCGTTTAACTCAACTCAATCGGCGCAATTTTGTTCCAATCATTTCCCTCCCTACAATTCAACTCCGTTCAGTTCCCCCGTACTTTGAAGAACGACCGGCCAAAGTGGTCAGAGCAGATGAACGAGGCAATCTGCGTCTTTTTTGCAACGCGTCCGGTGCTCCACAACCGAAAATCCGTTGGTGGGTCCGACTCAGTTTAGCCCAACTACAGAACACCGTTGCACACGTTGTTCACAAGTCAAATCGATCACGGGCCATGCAAGAACATGATTCGGACAAGGAAGGGGATAGCCTATTCTTTAGAAAGGAACGTCTCCGACCGATTGAAACAATACTCCCTCTCTATCAGAATGGTAAGAGTTCCTAATGTGCAATTGTCCCCTTTCTAAACTTTATCTTTTAATCAATTTAATTTAATTATGACGTGTTGCAGCGTTGATATACTCACGACAGTTTGTCACTTATCAAGTGGATCCGAAATCAAATTTGATCATTGAAAATTAGTGTGGATATCGTTATAGTAGATGTCCATCACTCATTGTTACAACTTGAGTATCTGTCTGTAGGAAAACGAAGCAACACTATAGACTGATCACCAGAAAAACTGGAGAAACCTAATGAGCATTTGAAACCCGAGCGGGAAAATTGTTGTTCATCCCTACCTTGACGGACTATTGCTTTAGACGGTGAACGTTTGGATTAGCCCATTCCGTTTTTCAGAGGCACCAAGCAATGTTGATGATCCTGGGTGTGGGTTTCACCCCTTGAGAGATCAGTAATTCCCCACTGGTTGAATGCGTTTCAATGCGGTGGAAATGTTTGTGATAACCGACAAAGAGTGCACTGGACAGTTGTTACGTCTAAACATGCACCGTCTAAATTGATTGAGCCATTCGCATCGTCGACTGTGTAGCTCAGGGTTAAAGGTTTGAAGTCCCAAACCGTAATTTCGCGGTTTGAGTCCTAACAGGGACACGCAAAAAGATACGCACGCTGCTGACGAGTCCCAAACAGGACAAAACAACAGCTGTCCCGGTGCTCGTTGTTCGGTTATCACGAAACATTTCCATCGCACTTACGGTTGTCACTTTCTTCAGTCACGTAGCATCAACAATAAGCACCAATCACTCATCCAACTATATTACTACTATATTATTCAAATATATTACCCAATGTTACATCTTTTGATATTTTTGAAGTAATTATTTCCAAATGAGGGAGATGCTAGTTTAGGTGTCACAGCAACATGTGGATATTACGTTTTCAAATGACACAAAATAACTCTAATTATGCAGAATTCCGAGTGAAAAATAATAGTAATAATGATAATAATAATACTGTCTTTTTAGTTCTTTTTTTATTTATTACATTTATAAATGTACAGTAACAATTCAGGAAGGAGGGCCGCTGACATACAAGGCTGCCTGGGAAAATGCAGAAATAGGGAACACGAGAGGCAGTGGAGCGTTTCGAATCCGGGACTCCCAGGTCACAAGTTGGTGCCTCAACCACTTGGCCACCACCGAAAGAATTTGAGCATAAAATGAACACGGCGGATACCCAACAGAATAGGTCTCAGAGAAAATGAATGACCTTGAAAACAGCAATCGACTTTATTTTGTTTGGTTTCCAGCGATCGATCAATCCCCACAGGATTCTTGAAGGTCTGATGTAATGAATAGTCATAAAATTCAGTCAGAACAAACATTTTTACAAAGTTCCAAGAAGGTCGAATGGCCAAGAATGACTTTTATATCTAACTGTTCACTAGCTACTGCGTGTACGCAGTCACGCTGTTGTTTCAGAGTATTTCACTTGTGTCCAACAGCCCTAAGATGAAAACGGATGAAAGCAAGTAAATACATACGTATAATCCGTGCAACTTGTTGAGATACTTTCTCGCGCGTGCTCTCTCTCTATCTCTCCAAATCGACAGTGGCACTGGATTATTTGATGAATCGGACCTTCCAGAACTCACGCACACTGATCCAATTCGACTTGAAGCGCGTCGAGTATGGCCAGTCGTGATGCGCTTCTGAACGGGTCCCATAACTCACAAACAACCCAGTTAGCACTGGTTGAAAGCAGAAGCCGTGCGGTTGTGTGGTAGACGTGAACCGATACGTACTTACGGAAATTTGCTTAAAGTTAACGAGGACCAGCGAGCGCTATAATGTGCAAACCGAGTGAAAGTGACAGAGAAAACGAAAAGTGAAAGTCCTCGCGCGCGCAAGGATGGAGTGGTAAGCAATCGTGTAGAGCAAATGTCTCACCGCGCGCGTTGGTACTGAGATCGAAAAATGAACATACAATCAGATTGTAGAGGAAAGATGATGTCCAGCAAATGTCTGCTATTGACCGGCTTTCACCTTACAATCGATCACACTAGACTACAATCTATGGTATGTGTGTACCTATAACCTGTGCCTCTGAGATTGAGTTGTCCGAACGAGAAGAGAAAATATAACAACAGGTTATAGAGATAATGAAGACTGAATTTCGAGAACACATGACGAGTATGGTAGTTAAATGCTCGTGCATATGCGGAACTACACGCTTTGGCAATCTATATAGTTGTACCGGTATCATATAAAAATATTCGGGAATCATTTTAAAACGTTTCATTATCGCTTCAAGTCGTCCCAGCACCGTTCCAGCAATATCTCAATCATCAAAATTAGACACCAAATGATTAGCCTTTTGTTGAAGCGAAGGGACCTCTGCGCTGTGAACAGTAGCAATCACACATAGACCAACTCCCATGGTACACCTTGGTCGTTTGCCTTGCATATGCAAGCGCTCATGTAGGTATATATATATATAGATACAAGAAGTCATATGTGGACAGAATTGATATTGGCCATCAATTTCGCCTGCTCTCATTCAGCTGTAAACGCACATTTATATGATCATGTAAAACCAACAAGCATAAGAGTTGAAATGTAAGCCATTTTGAATAGTCTCAGCCTTGTGTGTCGAATCAACTTCGATAAATTCAGCCGCAAACTGCAGTGCCGATGCCGGAGTGAGTTGCTTCAGGATCTATCGAAGTCGTTATCACAGACAGTTATCACTGATGAGTTTCCAAAAGAACCCAGAAGGTAAATCCATAATTTATCGTAATTTTAATTAAATCCACTGCAACTGAAAACTTTATCATTGGGTTTCAATTTTTATGTACCCGATAAGAAGCCCCAGAGTTTCGAAGTAGATGCAGAGTTTGAGAACCTTGCAGACCAGTTAAATGGATTAACACCAGATACAACTGAATCAGGAAGTTGGTTAAAAACTAAACTTGTATACTTGGATCACCAGTTCCGTGTTTCCCCAAACGTGCCACCACAACCTACTATCAAAAGATAACATAAACGCGATAAAAGAACTGAAACGGAACAAGTAAACTTTGCTTATGAAGCCAGATAAAGCTTATGGAGTTGTCATTCTCAATAAGGAGGACTATGTCGAAAAGATGGAGGAAATACTTATGGATCACACTCGTTTTCAACTGGATCCAAAAGCAAAAGACAAAACTGAAGCTTTGGAAAAAACAGTCTATGATACGTTGAAGCGATTCTGGAAGAAAGGTGTGATCGACACAAACACGTTTGTTAAACTGAGATCTCGGAGTTCACATATGGCAAGAATGTACGGATTGCCGAAATCGCGCAAACCGGGGATCCCATCACGATCAATCTCATCGATGGTTATCTCTCCCCAGAAAAAACTCGCACAATGGTTGGTGAAGCTGATTACTCCAATTAGTACCAAACTGTGCAAATTCAGACCGAAGGACACATTTTCATTAAAATAAGCAATACCAGACGTAGATTACCGTAGATGTTTTCTCGCCTCTTACTTCATTGTTCACAAATTTCCCGGTGGAGGAAGCTATGAAAGAAGTATATAAACATGCCAGTGAAATAGGGTTCCTCGCCAGTGATTTGAAAACCCTACTGGATCTATGCGTCTGCGACGTACAGTTTGTTTTCAGGGGAAATATCTCTAAACAGGTTGATGGTGTAAGTATGGGTTGTCCTTTGGGGCCAATTCTTGCTGATATCTTCCTGTCAACACTAGAGAACAAACTGGAATGTGATTTGAAGTCAACCCTACTTTATCGGCGGTATGTTGATGATACACTAGTTATTGCGCGTAACGAAACAGATGATATGACATTATTTCACAAGTTAAACTCATTGCGGCCCAACATTAAACTGACATTCGAATGTGAATGGGAATCTAAACTTCTATTTCTTAACTTACTACTCAATCGAATGTCAGACGGAAAACTACAGATATCTTTGTACCGAAAGCCTACATGGACAGGACAGTATTTACACTTCATGAGTTTCTGCCCTGTCGGATACAAGCGTGGTCTGGTACGCACTCTGTTTCATAGAATTCGCCGACTATGTAGTCCGCACGTCCCGCCAGATGGGCTGGACCGACTGACCCATGCTTTGCTAAACAATAGTCATCCCATCACATTCATTCACAAGTGCAGCAAACCGATCAACGCTAAGCCTAATTCCCTATCGGCTAAGAAGAAGGATGTCTATATAGAACTGCCTTTCAAGGGCAATGATTTAATGGCTAAGATATCTCGACGTTTAGCATACGTCGTCGAAAGGACGTACAATACTGCAAGACTAATGTTTGTCTACTGGACGTTTCGTTGTCTCACACGCACTAATCTGGATGGGAAAGACGTTAGTGTTATCTCCAACTTCATCTATGCATTTCAATGTACCTGCAGTCAGCGGTACATCAGAAGGACAAACGTCATTTATCAATCAGAATGTATGAACATATTCCGAAACACTTTGGTCTTCGCGGATGGAAACTACCATCTATATAGTGCGATTGTCCGTCATTCGTCAGATTCCGGTTATCATGTAGACACACCCAAAACGTTTCGACTCATTGCGAGGCCTCGAGGTTCACGAAATTTGCGATGCTTAGAAGCGATAATTATTCGTCGCTTGAAACCGCAATCAGATGTTCAAAAACATTTCTGATGCAACTATTTTTGCCGTGGTAGTGATGATAACAAACTTGATACCACCCTATGATGACATGACCTTCCCCCTCCCTCCACCACATTCACCACATCGTTCAGATCCGTGCACTTCCATATCAAATCTTGTCATCTAACTTGATCTCAACCTCCAACCAAATATAAACCACTGAACTCACTTGCCCACCACCAACTTGTTCAAATGACTCATTTCAACTCTTATGTTTGTTGGCTTTACATGATCATATAAATGTGCGTTTACAGCTGAATAAGAGCAAGCGAAATTGATGACCAATATCAATTCTGTCCACA